AACGGTGCCGGCCATGGGCAGCACCCACCTTGGAGCCCCGCTCGTTGAAAATGATCTCCACGTCCAGGATCTTCCCGAATTGCTGCAAACAGAGAAAGCAGAGGGGTGAGCGCCCACAGAGCCCCTGGCCCCACACCCGCACCCGGGGCTGCTGGCACGGGGCTCTGTGCCCGGCTGGGCCAGGGACGGGCAGGGGGCTGCTTTGGGGGGCCAGACCAGGGGACCCTTGGTGCCACACAGGGGAGAGCCCCCGTCCCTCTCATGGCACTAGCTCTTCCAGGACTTGAGGAGTTATCATCCTAAAAACTCATTAGCCTGCACTGCTCTGAACCCTAATGAGGGCTGGGAAGGGGACAAGGCGCGGGGGAGAAGGGCTCTGTGTCACTCGCCCACCAGGCATGGCCTCGGTCCAGCAGCCTGGCTGCTGACTAGGGTGCAACTCCGGCAAACCACGGCTCCCGGCCAGCAGCAGCACAGCGGCGCCCAGGCACACCCCAGGCTGGGCAGGACAGGCCCTCGGGACGGGCCACTGCCAGGGTCCCTGTGGTGCCACGGGGCAGCACCCGAGCGGAGAGCAGGGGACGTGGGTGGCTGGACGGGGCTGGACTCACCCCAAACATTTGCCGCAGGTCGGGGTCCCGGAATCGGAAGGGGATGTTGGAGACGTGTAACCTCTTGGGCTGCTGCTTATCTGTGTTGTCTGAGGAGTGTTGCTGCTGGCTGTCTGTCTGTGCCGCCTCGTCTGTCTGCTGCGGAAAGCATTGCCGGCTGTCAGCCCCCGGTCTTGCCAGCCCCGTGTTCCCCCTTGGGGGTCTGGGCTCAAGGGCTGTCCCCCTCCCCTGTGTCTTGCCCTGCCACCCCCAGGGACACTCTGGACCCTGATGTCCCCAAGCTCCAGGCAGCACCCCATGCTTCTCCCTCCAGCCTGGCAAGTCGGGGGGATGCCAGAGGGGATCTCTGCCTGGGGGGAGTCAGGGGATGCCAGTGGGGTCAGGGCATCACCGTTGTGGTGGTGCCAGGGACCTGGGGGGCTGAGCGCTGGGAGCACACCCTGGAGAGGGGGAGGCCTGGGAGAGGGCAGGGGGTGACCCAATGCCGAGAGCCAGCCAGCATCGGGTGGCCTCGCACTGGCCTCTATCTTCGCCATCCGCCCAGTGGCACCGGGGCCCGG